ACACCATTAACATTTAAATTATCAATCTGCTAATTTTTCAAAGTAGAAAACATACTTGATTAGACCAAGCATATCTAATTTGATAAAAAGGCCAGATCGGCTGTACAAAACCATTAACATTTAAATTATCAATCTGCTAATTTTTCAAAGTAGAAAACATACTTGATTAGACCAAGCATATCTAATTTGATAAAAAGGCCAGATCGGCTGTACAAAACCATTAACATTTAAATTATACATGCAAAATGTACAACAAATCAGCTTGTCAAATCACAGCAACAACAAATTCAAGTGAATTGTGAGTAAAATTACAAAGCTGAATCTCTGAATCACAGAGCTGAACTGACAGAGATAACTAGGGTTTAGACAGTACAAAGAGAGAGAGAGAGAGAGAGAGAGAGTAGCTCACCGATCTGAATCGATTTTGAGAGAGAACTTCGAAATGGCTCTGACTTCGATTTTGAAAGATCTTAGACAGCGTAGAGAGGGCGAGAGAGAGAGAGAGAGAGAGAGAGAGAGAGAGCGCGAAAGTGAGAGTGAGAGTGAGAGTGCGAGAGTGAGAGTGAGATTTCCGCGTATACTCCTTGCTTATCATATTCAAAATAAAGGTGAAACAGGAGAGGGGTTGGATGAAAACCATTCCAAGGCGTTTAAAAAACGTCTTTGATTCTTGAAACGGCGCCGTTTCAATTACAAAAAAATAAGACGTTTATAAAACGCCGTTATATATTAGAAACAATGGCGTTTTACAAAACGCCGTTAAAAAAGCTCCACCAAACCCCATATTTCCTGTAGTGGTATTATCATATTATGTGCACGTGATATTTTCGATTAATGAAATTGCACAAAGAGGAATAGATATAAAGATTGACTTGTCTCTCACCAACTATTAAAATGAGTCAAGTTGATTCTATACATATTGTAATTATTACTTTTATTGATCTGAAAGAACTATATCAATCTAAAGTTATTAAATAATAATAATAAAAGTAATTTGGGAACATGCATGGGAGAAGGTTGATAAAACATTGCAAAATGGGTTGACTGTGGGACGGTGCACTCATCCAGATCTCAAAAGCTTTTTTTTTTTTAAATCATTTTTCATTTTTGATAAGAAAATTCAAGGTAGAGGATCTCATTGATGCCTCCATGGTTGGAGTTAGGGCCCCACTTTGAAATCCCCCATCTCACCACCATTCATCTTTTTAGACAAATGGCCCACTTCAAATTAATCAATAAAGATGATAAATGTATGGGCCTAGATATCTTGGTTACAAGGGTAATATTAATTATTTCTTGATTAAAAAAAATTATTACAATGCGATGAACAATAATAATTTTTTTTAACTGATTAAAGGATCTCCATTTGTGGAAGAATCCGACATAAGGAACTTCAAAGAAGAATCGTAGGTGTCCTCACAAGACGGACTTAAATCATAACTTAACTTCAGATTTATCAGAGTTTGAAATTGAACATAAAAAAAGATAAGAACCATATTGTCATCGTAGAGTCTCAAATTTAGAGTCCTTTGCACACCAAACTAGTGAAGAGTGAGCTCTTCCAAAGCTATCATCTTAATTTGATGGCGGCTATCATCTAATTTATTGTAACCAAAAAAATCCAAACATACACTACCTCTAAAAAAATCCAAAGAAAAAACTATTGCAATTAGCTTAATAGTCAAATTTATGTATCTAATTAGAAAACTATGGTTTCGATTGCCCCTTTCCCATCAATGTAAACCCCACCCCCACCCCCCTCCCAAAAAGGATGTAACGAAGACCGCTTTGATCCTATATTAATATAGTTAATGGACAAGATTGTTTGGATACCCTCAAGTTATGATAACAAATTTCTGAGCTCACTAAAGTTAAGCACATTTTTCAGGATACATATGTGGTCCAGTGGGAGATTGTTAGATAATGTTTCAATGGGACCACATAATTAAATGTGGTGTTATCATTTATAAGAAGCCTACAATTTAAGTGATTCAATTTAGTTAATAGGCTTAAGGGTATATGTGTTATGGACCTAATGTGTAGATACTAGTTGTATAATTTCTATTTCTATGAGGGGCAGAAATAGAATAAAACCAATAATGGTTAAAGTTGGTTTTCATTCCTTTTGAACTTCCACAACCTTTCAGTTTTGAAAACCAATTACAACCTTTAAAAGGTCATGGTCCCTATTCCTTCCCAGGTGGAAATAAGAACACTGCCATTTTTTTCTTAAATCCTCTCAAGGAGAAACATAAGGCACCAAAGGGGAAAGGATTAGAAGGCAATAACATAATCAATAACAAAGAATTCATTGATAATCACGCTTCCGTTTAACCGTTCATCAATGGATTCAGGTATGTCATTTTGTCTTGATTTCTTGATAATACACATGGTAAATGATCCAAAGTGTAAGGTTTATGTTCTGAAATTTATGTTGACAGATAGGACTAGAGCTAAAAAAAAAAAAAAAAAGCAAAAACACAAAACAATGTGAAGAGAGGGAAAAGCACTCACCCACAACAAAGTCATTGTCCACCGTTCACACTTAGAAGTTAAAAGTTACCAACCCCATGGCCCTGCTCAATCCATTAGCTTTTTTGTCATTACTTAAAACCCAACCATGAACCATTCACTGCCCCCATAACTCCAAAATTGAAGAGAGAGAAAGAGAGAGAGTATTGGCTTCCTACATCCTCAATGACTTAAGATCTCTCTTGGAACAATCTTCTGTGTAAATAAAATAATTTGAAATGAATTTAAACAAAATAAATAAATAACATATCGGATTTATTTATCGAACTGAAATAAAATTAAGACCAAGTCGAGTGTGTGACACTCTGTCCTTAAGACAGATTCGCCCCGCTACGGTACTTACGGTTGAATGGCGTCTATCTCCCAGGATACAATGATCTTCACAAATTTATAGAAGCACTTCAAATAAATTTGTTCGGCGAACCAAACCTGTGATCTATACTCTCTTTTATTTATTCTAAAACTAAATATGAAGAATAAATGCACTTAGAGAAAAAATGGACAACAATGAGACCACTTGACTGAATTTTTCGGATCTGAAAATTAGATGCCAAACCTGCTAGAATTGATGGTATTTATAGGCAGCAAACAGTTCCGAACAGGTATCAATTTAAAGAAGTGAAAAGGTGCATTATTTCAATTCAAATAAAGTTGACCGTTTGATCTCAAATTCAAACATTTGAAAAAGTGTTCCGTTAGAGAATGTTTCAAATCTGTAGGTAATTTATTATTTAAACTATTTCAAATATATATATATATATATATTAAACTTAATTATATATATATATATATATTAAACTATTGAAATAGTTAAATAAATAAATAAATGAAGAGGTACAAACTTTAAGAAACTTTTTTTAGGAACTTAATATTTGAATTTAGAATTAAATTAAATTCTCACAATTACAAATTTTAGGAAACCACTTAGGAATCCAAAATTTGAATTTAGAATTAAATTAAATTCTTATAATAATTTTTATTAAAAAAATCTAAAAAATTAATGTTAGACTCGAAAACGACGTCAACTTTCCATTCACTCATAAATGATTTTTGACGTTCCGTCTTCACCATGTGACTTGTCACGCGGCAAGGAACAGCCCACTCAAATTTGACCTCAAAATTAACCCAAAATAAACCATATAAAATACTATTTTTCCAACAATCTCAACATTAAGGAGTTTCATGTTGTTCCTGTTTCTCTTTGTAATAGTTGTGTTGGGGTTGAGAAGTCCTTTTGCAGAAGCTCAGAAAGTACCTGCAATTTATGTATTGGGAGACTCATTAGTGGATGTTGGTAACAACAATCACCTCAAGCTCTCTCTTGCTAAAGCTGATTTTCCTCACAACGGCATCGACTTTCTTGGCCAAAAATCTACCGGAAGATTCTGCAATGGCAAAAACTCTGCTGACTTTTTTGGTAACTAAAATTTCACCATCCCATCATAGCCACACTTCACTTTCACTTCTCATCAAGCAAATATCTCTCTCCCTTGAATTGAATCCTATCAATATTGTCAATCATCATATAAAAATATGGTTATTATAATATTATTGAAATCTTAATGCTTAATTTTCTACCTTTTGTTGTAGAAAAGGTAGTTCTTATATTTTTGATTATGTGTCAGTTTAGCTCATGCAATTTTAATTAATTTAGTTTTGACTCTAAATTTATAAGTGATTACCATTTTTTATGAAAAATAAACAAATAAGCGGCATATGTCAAGCGCTTGATGATTATTTTTCGTCAAAAATCGTAATAGCTTTATCAATTAGACATAATTGATATAAAATTAAAAATTAAAAATTAAAATTGAATCAATTGAAAATACATGAATAAATATAATATAAGAAGCAAAATGAGAAGGCTATCAGTATAATTTATTTATTTATTAAAAAATGACAGAATTTACCCATAATCAGATTGTGTGGTGAAGATTAATTTGACAAAATGTAGAGTTCATGAGTAAAATGAATTTAAGCCATTGATTTCTATTTCAATAATTCTAAATATATAATTTTGAATTTGTAGTCTTCCTTTGAAAAGTGCTTAATAAATATACTTTCAAATTTTTTACAAAAAAATATAAAAAAACAAATAAATAATATAAACCAATATATGTATATATATATATATATAAATATTACACTCTCCAAACACTCCTTTATTTTTTTGGTGCCAATTCTCTATTATATGTATCACCTTCATTTCGGTTTAGAAAAATGCTTAGTGCTCCCACTAATTAGGTGGCAGTGGGTCTCATCATTAATGATGTGATGTTTTAGTTTTGGAGTTGTATTTTTTTTTTTTTAAATGCATTAGTGCTATTAATGGTGATATTTTTAATGGAATGAATTATTGTTGTTCGGTTTAATTTTAGTAGGTGAGATAACGTCTCATCATGTACTAATTTTTCTGGGAATTCTATCAGATAAATTTGTCCATCATATGTCATATCTACCTAATGGCCCAGACTGTTTTTTTTTTTTTTTTTCACCAAGCAACAAAAAAATTTTGTCCTCAAATTTTTTTATAACAACTTTTTACTAATATTTTCGCAATGATTTTTTGTATTTTCCGATGTATCTCACTAGAAGAGTCAGCTCAATCATGCTCCCGAGCCAAGACAACTCCGGTGATGACGGACA